CTTATGTTGACCAGGCAGGAGGTAGGGTCAAAGACCTAAACTTGCCAAGCATGTCAAGTTAAAAAGAGGGTGCTGGGAAGTGATGCGTTTTGGCAAAGTGCAAGTATTTTCTCCTCAGCCTCAACTCCTTCAGTGCCCTGCCTAGCCTCACATAGTTCTCTCTCACTACCAACATCCTGTTCTGATCTAGGTGGAACATTTCTCCAAATGTTTAGTGACTAGCCTAGTCACTGATATTTGTTTTACTTTCTTCTTCTGCCCTGCCCCCTGCCCAACCCAGGAGATCTATCATACTGCAACCACCAGCCCCTATCAGCATCTCTTTGTCCACGATCGCCATATTTTCTCTAACTCCTCAAAATACTTTAATATACCCCTAGCCTTACCTTCTGTCTTTGATCCCTACCACTTCATTTCTCTTCCTCTCCCAAATTTGAAGGTCCTATTATGGAACCCAGAAATACTACCAAATTGCTTTGAAAGCTGCAACTGCTATTTAATCTGATTCTTTCTGTTCTGAGCTGTCTCAGTATTTCTTCTCAACCTGCTCATTCATTCCCTCTATTTGTTATTATTTCTTCCTGTACTAAGCGCTGCAGAATGGAATGGCAGCATTAAATGTACAATAAGGTTCACATACATAACAAGTGACGCAATGTTAATTATTGCTTGTAATTATAATTATCTGAAGCATCCTACAGCATCACTTATGATAACTGTTTCATTAATTTTCCTATAAGTAGTTTGGAATTGTTGAAGTGAGCTTCACAGGGGCTTTCATAAAAATGTGAGAAATGCTGAATTAAGAATCAGAGGAACCACTTTTCCTATATTACTTTTTTCCATCGCTGTATTTCACATATAATGTATTCTGTTTTAGCCTTGTGACCAAAGAAAGCTGTGCTTTTATCAAAAGTACACACTCACCTGAACGTACTGTAAAAACAATGCTCATTAAGCACAGAGAGCTTATGGTATTAGTAATCCCAAAATTGGCTAACTTCTGTCATTTTCAAGGTTTCTAATAGTGAGCTCCAACTGAAATTAAATTACTTTAGATGATATGGATTGCTGACTAATGCATAGGAATGACAGAAGCTTAAATAAGTAATTCAGGAGAAGCAATATGCTTATTTTCATCCTGAGATATTTTAGCTAGAAATCATCTTAAAATATATTCTTTACTAGTGAAATGACATCACAGTTGGCAATAAAGTTCAATTTTCCCATTAATTTAATCCCTGTAAGTGCTGTTGATGTTTACTTCTATATAAATCCATCTATAGATGGATATAGATGTTTATATATTTACCACATATCTCATGTTCTTGCTCTTGAATTGCTTTACTGAATAGCTTGTAGAGAGAATTTTTTAAAAATATTATGCAACTAAAATATAAAATACTGCCAAAAGATATCAACCTAGTTTTTGTGAGACTAACCCGTTCCAACTCTGAACTGCCTCTCTCACATACCAGTCTTTATTTAGCCAAGTAGACCCATTGAAAAATTAACTAAAAAAACTAAAGACCTGCAGAATCAGACAGTGTGATGTCAAAACATCAGTTTGCATTGACTGAAATCTGGGTTAGATTTAACACTGTCAGTTGCAGAATCATCTTTACTCACATTAGAAGAGATTGCTCCTACCTTTCATTTCAGATAAAGGGCCCACAAAGATAAACTAGGCAGAAGGCAGGGCATGGTTGCACCTTATAGATTAACTGAAAGGCATGAGCTTTTGTAGCCTACAGATGCGTAGCCTCGGATGAAGTAGGCTGTAGTCTGTGAAAGCTTATGCCTCTCTGAATGAATGAGTCTATAAGGTGCCATCCTACCTTCAACCCTTAATTCAGACTAATCCACCTAACTACCTCTCTCTACTCAACGATAACAGAGGACTTCTCTCACTGATATATAACAACTGCCTTACTAGAAATGATTAACCTATGATTTCCAAGTTAGGCCAGGAAGGGCTGGGATTTATTGGCAGCCTGGGTCTTACATCTAAGTTAAGGAAACCTTGGAGCAGTTCCTTACAAAGCTATTGCTGCTCCTACAGCTCCCAGGTAAATGGCACCAACGTTCATTATTTCTTTTCAAGGTACCTGTTCCATCCTGCCACTAACTCTAAATAGGTGGCATTCCCTTCCTATTCTTCGCCCAAAAACTCGACTAGAGAATAAATATTCCACATCAACTGAGGCCCACAGTGGACATGACACTTAAAATGCAGTTAACTTGTTAATTGCACCATAAATAGTAACCCAGCCACATGTTCAAGCAATTAATAGCTTGAAAAAATGGGAAATGAGCCACAAGTATATTCCACAAAATGTGTGTAATGTTTTTGTTGCTGGTTTGCATTGTGCCTTTAAACGAACCCGAAGCAAGAGAGCCACACCATTCAGCCTGCTGCTGGCAGGGCTTGGTTGACAGCTCCCTCTGTGTTGGTAGGCTGACAGCTGTGGAGTGCAGTCCTGCATGGCTGTGCCCCACGGTTTTCAGGGTGCTGAGTGAAAGTGCAGGGTTCCAGTTCATCAGCTGGTCCAGCATGTCAGGGCATAGGGAGCTGTGGGGTTCCCCCTTACCCAACATGCAGTTTGCCTTGCCACATTACCAAGTAATAATGGTCTAATTGAGATTTGATCTCTGATCCCAAAATCATTCATCCTGCCATGCACATGTGGTTTAGCAGGAAGCACAACTGTCACATTATTGAATGATCTTGTGCCAGTACCCAAAACAACAACAAAGTATAAGTCGTAGCTTGCACACTCTCTTTTTCCTTCATTTCCATTATCTAAGAAATCCCCTTCATATCCACTCAAACACTTTCACAGTCTGCTTTGAAGCTAAATGAACATATGTTTCATCCAACAAAGTGAGTCAGCAGAAAAACTTCATAACACTGTGCCAGCTCCTAATACCTGACATAAGGTTGGAACAGCAAAAGGGCATCTGTATTCTGGGTCCTAGAACTCTTCCATATTTCATACCTTGAAAGAACACTACTAAGTGATACAGAATCAAATATTTCCCACTGTTGTAACAGAATTTAAGAAATACTAGAAATTAAGAAAAAATTCAGTCCAGTATAGCGGGCTAAAAAAATTTGAGTCCAGAAGCGGGCCCTCTTTAATTTGGATTCGGCCGGAATCAGGGACAGTGATTCGAATAGCTGATTCAGATCACTGTCCCCAATTTGATTTGGCCAAATCCAAATCTAAAGATTTAATGCTGATTTGGAGAATCAGCTATTCGGACATAGACACAGCTTTAAATGTTTTTTCTACATACCTCGAGGTACCAGTGCGGCTTGTGAATGCTGCAATGCTGAGGCAGATGGAGGTGTCCAGCAGGAGTGGGAGAGGGGGGCGGGGGTGCGCATATGCTTGGCGGCAAATCAGGAAGTGGACCCGAAGTACTTCCGGTCCACTTCCGGGTCTGCCAGGGAGTGTACTGGGGACCCCCCATGCTCCTGTGGGACACTCCGTGAGTCCCACCATCACAGCATTCATGAGCTCCTGCTACCTAGAAGTATGTAGAAAACACATTTAAAGCTGCATCTATGTCCAGATCTTTCCGAATCAATTCAGACGGTTCCGATTCAGAACAGGGAAATTAAACGGTCCTCTGATTCGATTCGGATTCAGAGATTTGGCCCCTGAATCAGGCCGAGTCTCCACTAAATCAAATCAGGGACCAAAGCTTTGCACTAATGATTATCATGAAGGCCTGAATTCCTCCAAGCCTACAATTAGCTGCAGACGCACAAACTTGTTGTAGCTGTGGTAAAACCTTATTCCCAGTGAATTAAGTAAATGCACAGATTCTGTGCCCTTATCAAGAGGCAGGAACTTGCCATACATCAGCTGCTACATCATAACTGCCCCTATGTTCCTCTGTTACCTGCTTTGAAAGCTAAATCAAGGCAGCTTCCCTCCAAGTGAAACAGGCCTAAGCTTCCCCTATTTAGCTTTCACTTATGATGGGGAAAGTGCAGTCATAAGGACAGTTCATTTTGCAAAAATTAACAGGGAACAGGGATTTACCCCATCTTCCCAGCTCTGCAGTAACAGTCCTGACATCTGCCATCATTTCACTGTAAGTGATAGCTCAACCAAAGCAACTTATTTAAAAACTAGGCTGCCCCAGGTTAGCTCCCTCCAGGAAGTGCTTGGGAGCACAGGGACAGTTCTCAAGTTCTATGCTGCTAACTGTATGGACATGCCTAACAGTAATTGTGTGGGGTCATGCAAAATGAGCTCTGACTGTAGATGGGAATGCAGCTGGATAAGGTTTGGGAACCACTGCCTAACACTGTCTGGCACACTTGATGATTCAAATACCTCCTTGTCCACAAAACTATTAATACATTTTTAATACAACTTCTACTGGCAGATCAAAACCCACCCTAAAGCCTGAAATAGTTGCAGAAAATACTCTTTTACAGTACATCAAAAGTATGGTCTAATGTATGGCATCTAAGAGGAACTCAGAGCAGCTGGAGTCTTGTCTGCATGTTAGCTTTCTAGCACTCAGGCCACCCCCCGCCCCACCATAAGTATGCTGGCTTTGCATTCAGTTAACTTAAATACTTCCAGAGTTTTGCAGTAGTTGGGACTATTACTGATCATACTGAACTCCTTGGGCCTGATAGCCATTTTCAGCAGCTAGGTGCAAAAGTGTAATATTATACATTTTTTCTGAAGGGTAAACTACAAGTTAGCTGTTAGAGTAGACTAAGATTGTACACACAGGCAGTTACTGCAAAGCAGCTGGCACACTATAAATCCCTACTCCCAGAGTAACCTGAGTTTGTGCTGATGATGTCAGAGTTTATCTTCTTACTACATATTTTATGAACACATGAACACAAATATGGGCATCAGAAACATAATGAGAACAGGATCACAGAAGACTTAATACATAAATATCTTTACCATTGTTTGCCACAATTTACTGTTTCCCATCTTTCTTTTCTTTTCTTTTTTTAGTTCAAAACAAACTATGGTAAGAGAGAATTTAAAGTAGCAATTCCACCCAATGAAACCTCCACTATGGCTTCTGTAATCAGCAACGTCTCGGAGGCAATGGAAACCCTAACTCGAATAAAGGAGGAGATTATCCCTGTTCCAGGATCTGTAAATGGAGTGAATGCACTGGGACTGGTGGTTTTTTCAATAAGCTTTGGATTGGTGATTGGGAGCATGAAGGAGCAAGGGCAGCCATTAAAGGACTTCTTTGATAGCCTTAATGAAGCTATCATGAGATTAGTAGCTCTAATCATGTGGTAAGTGTTTTATGTCTGCCAAATGCTCTATTATTATGCTAAGTGTTGCTGTTTTGTTGACAGTATATGCTAGATATCCAGGGTATGTGTTGGGCAATAGGTCAGACTGGAAAATCCTAATTGTTCTTTCTAGCTTTAAAATCTATACCTCTAAAGATCATAGTTCTCTACACTGTTAGTTTACGCTAAGAATCTAAATATTTTAGTATTTTCTAATTCTTGCTGCAAATAAATATTTTCCATTGCCATCATTACTAATAGATAAATGTAGTCTTTAGTGTCCACTGGCATTGTTTTCATAATGTTAGGACATACATATTAGGAGAGGTACTTTAGCAATACTGCTTTCCACAAAAGTTCCCCACACCAAATTCTAATACAACAGAAAAAAGTCCAGCTGCAACAGCAGTCATCCTTCTGTAGATCTTATGTTCAAGGCTAAACTCTCAAGTGTAGCTGAATTGTGTCTGGCACAACTAAGAAAAAGTAGTTTAAGTATCTTTGAAACGCCGCACTCAGTCCTCAACAAAAAATAGCCTTCAAAATGCTCTCTCTACCCTTTGTCTAACTACTTATTACTTGAAGCTGCCTGTGACTAGCCAAACCTAAAGACTCCATTACCATGCCCCCTTTTCTCAGCCATCTACCCAATATTTAGAGGCAGGTGGCAAAGGAGTATCCCATGTATTACATGGGCTTTTGCCCATGTAAAAAATGACCAAAGAATTGGCTAAACTAGGTTTTAAATAGGAACCAGGGCTCCATCAGGCATTCATCAACTTGGAGAGTTACCACCGTTCCTCTTCACTTTCCCTTAGCTGACCCCAAACCCAGCAGAGCTGAGTAAATATGGCAGCAACCAAGTTGACTTGCCACAGGCCAGAATCTTGAACTGAGGCCAATCTAGGATGGTTATGGTTGCTAATATGTATAAAGCTTTGTATAAAAAAAAAGGGGGGGGGATTGAAGTTGGATTTCTCTTTGTTCAGCACAATGTTTATTTGCTTACTTGTTTATAGGTATGCTCCGCTTGGGATCCTCTTCTTGATTGCTGGAAAAATTGTTGAGATGGAAGACATGGGTGTAATTGGTGGACAACTTGCCATGTACACTGTAACAGTTATCATTGGTTTGCTCATTCATGCAATTATTGTTTTACCACTTCTCTACTTCCTGATCACCCGTAAAAACCCTTGGGTATTTATTGGAGGATTGCTTCAGGCACTGATTACAGCTTTGGGAACATCTTCAAGGTACAATAAGAAGATACTTTTAAGACTGAATAATAATAAAATCTGACATTTTCCAATCTTGTAGTCACACTTCAGGTGAAAAACTCCTATTGATATAACTGACAGGGCCCTTAGCTTATGCAAATGAGAAAAGACGCTTTAAAAAGTGGGGGTTGTCTCAAAGAAATGTACAGGTACCATTGGAAGCATTTACTTTTGTACTTACCATGATCATAAATTTAAAAATAGTACCCAATTAAAATAAAGTACCTTAACAATAAAATACACTGTTGTTATGATGAAAAACATATGCTGGCATAACTGAATTAATTCATTGTCACAAGCATTTGGACGCATCTTATTCAGGTCTATGCTTTCTAGTAAGCATACAATTTTTACTAAATATGTTTGATTGATCTATTATTTGTTTGCTTACTTTCCACACTGATTGTTTTCTGTGAAGAGCTCAGAAACAATCCATGAGCCCCTGAATAGCCCTGCTGGCACAGGTCTATGGGCATGAACCTAGTTAATACCACTAGGATTTCATTAGTATCAGTCTTTGAAGTCACTGAGCAGTGAGGAGGTGGAGTTGAGCATCAAGGCTTACTCTGTTGACAGATGAACTAGCAAGTATTCAAACAAGAGAGAGAAATAAGTAATCAGAGAAGATTGGAAAGAAATTTAGAAAGGGAGTTTGAAAGGCTTTATTTGTAAGTGAAGTGCAATGATCAATATGGACACCAGCAGCGGACCCGAGCTGTAACCTGAAATAAATGTGTCATGATTTTATTCCAGCATGGAGTGAGAAGGGACTTTGTACGTAGGAACTGAAGGTTAGTGGGTAAGTTGAAAAAAAAGATTTTGCATTGGAACAACAAATACAGAGACTAGGGAGCATCAGGGAGACCAAGAAGTTCTTGGGCAACCAAGAAGAGTCAGTGTGAAGGCTTGGTACTTCTTCCTCACCAGAGGCAAAACAACAGGGTTTGACAGTATGCAAGACTGGACCAGTTGTGGCTACCAGGGAGCAGAGGACCAGAAGAAATTCCACACAGCTAAATGTTTATAATCATGCCCACTTCTTCAGTGAAGAAACAGGGAAAGAGCTCTGACAATCCGGGTGGCTGAGTGGAATGGAGAGGCATACAGGAGACACTCGTGCCTGGCTGCTCAACCTATAAGAAAAATACAAAGTAATTCCAACCATTCATGGAAGCCAGACAATCCTTCTTCAGTGGGATCATATACAAAACAGAATGGAAATAATTTTGTTCAAGGGACTGGAAGACAACAAGGTAGTGTACTTTATTTTGGGAACCCAGAAACAACACAACTCTAAAAGAGTACAGGTTTTTCAAGTCAGCAAGCAAGTATCCAACAGTAATTGTGCATATTGGCACTAGTACCGCACAATGGGTGCCGTTACTGGTTTGAATTTAAAGACAGCTCAAGATGACTTGGAAGGATGTTGAATAGAAAGAATCTCCCAGTGGCTTTCTTAGAGATCCTTTCCGGGGAGCAGAATATTCTGAAAGTGAATCACTGGCTAGAAGTATAAAATAGGTTTTCATTTTGTGGAACATTGATGCACTTGCATAGGAGGAGAGGGAGTTACACAATTTGGATGGCTTCAGAAGAAGAGTTCTTCATCATTATAGGTTTGGATTTAAAGATAATCTTATAGTTTAGTGAAAAGGTGAAATGAAGGTGAAAAGTGAGAAAACACAGTAAAAAATCAAGAAGTTGAGAACAAAAGTAATCAAGATACAAAGGACACAAAGATAAAAAAATCTTTAATTATAGTATATCAATAATAGGGGCTGGGTTAATAAACAAGAAGAATGTAAATTGTCAATTTATGAGTATGAATCCATTTAGTTTGTTTTACTGAAACTTGAAGGAAAGATTTATGCTACTGGAATGTTAAAAAAGTCAATGGTTATAACCGATTCAGGAAAGATTGAATAGATGGTTACAAAAACTGTGGCACTCTGTCAAAATTGGCATTACCTGCTTCTAAATTATTGACAATCTTAGTGCTTGTGGACCTATGTTCTGACAGCTACAGAAGATAGGTTACTTCTGGCTGTCAGCAACAAACTACCAAATCATACTAGAACACAAAAAGGCTCTCAGGGAAAATTATTCTATATTTTGAGGGGAAAAGAAAGTTGTTATCCTGGCAAATGTCAGTCTGAGTGACACACTCAAAAGAAATCGTATTGCCAGTACTAAAATGTTCATCAATAATTTTTTTTAGCAATTACAAGAGCATTTTCTGACTCAAAGTGTAACATGCAATGTGGGAGATTTCTGTGCTAGAGCATCTTGACAAATCACAGAAGTAGCAGTTTAGATGCCAGTGATTGTGATTTGATTATGTTTAATTCTGCAAACAGAATAAAATATAAATACTTGGCATTTTTAAAAAGCCAATTTCACAAAGCTGAATACAATTAGAAGGCCAAATTTGTTGGGAGAAATATGAATAATAATTGATAACTGTTGAAGAACATTTTATTAAATGTCCAAAAAACCTACAGCCCCCCAACTTAGAGAAAAGACTGCACTAATCCAAAAATAATCATGTCTAGAGAGGATGTGAAGGCAGCTATAAAAAATACAATATTATTTATTCCATAAATCATGGAATTTTTCTGAATTATTCCATTATGGTAGAAAGAAGCAGCAGATGGCAAGAAGTAAAAAAACTCAGAAAGTAGAAACTGTAGAAAATTAGAATTGGGAAGCAAAAGGACATGACGAACAATCTATGGCCAGCAGAATTTAGGAGAGTCAGAAGCACTCTTCAAGCATATCAAGAAGAATAGAGATTCTTATAATAGTATTGACATGACTAGAAGAAAATTATCCACTTAATAATAGTGCAGAAAGACATAAACATTCAATACATATATCTATTACCTATTTGAGTAAAAGACCTCTGATGATGATGATGATGATGAAGAAACGCTCCAAAATCTGGATAGTTTTAAATCATCAGGTTCAGATAACTCTGATCTAAAAAATTTTAAAACATGGGATGAGGAGCTTTCTGGATCATTAATACTGACTTTTGGAATAAATATTGGAACAATAGGGAAGTTCTAGAGGAAAGTTTTTGTAAAAGGAAGCTAATATGCCAATATTTTAAAAGGGTAAACAGCATAACCCTGCTAATTACAGGCATGTTAACCTAAAATCCGTGCCAAGCGAAATAATGGAACTGCTGACACTGGACTTATTCAATAAAGAATTAAAGGAGAATAAGAGACGTAATACAAATCAATCCACTTAAATGGTAAATGATTTTTGGCAATGTTTCCTGATGTGTTTTTCTGATGAAATTAATGTTTGATGAAAACATCAGTGTAAAAATATTAGAATCTGTGAAGCATTCAACTAAGTATTGCATGACTTTATGTTTATTGAAGGAGAATGACAAAATAAACAGCAGACATAATATAGTTTAAAACTGGCTAACTGACAGATCTCAGAATGTAACTGTAAATCAGTAACCATCACAGAAAAGCTTAATATCTCTTGAGGTATCACAGGGATTTGTTCTCAGCCTTACACATGTTAACATTTTTATCAATGATCTGAAAGAAAAAAAGGTTGCTGACAAAGTTTGCAGATGCTACAGACATTTTGGGAGTAGCTGATAATGGAGAGGACAAGTCACTGATAAAGCAATCGAAATTGGTTGGTAAGCTAGATGCAAGCAAATATATGCCTTTCCATATGGTCATATGTATATTCATATACTTAACAAAAAAAGAACGTTGACCATATGCACAGAAAGGGGACCTTATTATGGGAAACAGAGATTCTGAAAAAGGGCTGGGGGTCATAGTAAATAACAACCTCAACAGGAGCTCCCACTATGATGCTGTGGCCAAAAAAGCTAATGCAAACCTTGGATGCACAAGCAGAGAAACATGAAATTAAAAGTGGTTTATAATATGACCTCTATTCTTGGGACTGATACAATCGCTACTGGGATACCATGTTCAGTTTTGGGCTCCACGATTCAAAAAAGAGGTTGATAGACTGAAGAAGTTTTAAGAAAGAGCCACAAGCATGATACAAGGATTTAAAAAAATGCCTCTTATTGAAAACATGCCTCCATCCTTGGTAAGTTTAGTTTAACAAAGATAAGCTTAAGGAATATTTGACCCACAAGTGCCTATACAGAGAACAGTAATTTGACCACAGAACACTCCATCTAGTGGACAAAGTTATAGAAAGAGCCAATGGCTAGAAGTTGAAGTTAGAAAAATTCAAATTGAGAAAGGATTGCAAATGTTTAACAATGAAGAAATTTGAACCTTGTTACCACTTGCCAAGTGGCTGTGACAGATTCACCATGATTAGAAATTTTAAAATTAAGACTGGTTAGGCTTCTAAAAAGATACTGCTCTAGCTGACATGGAAATTAATTCAGGGAAATCTATGTCCTTTGTTATACAAGAGATCAGACTGCATTGCTGTGGTTCCCTCTGCCTGTCTATAGATGCACATGCAGCCTTCTAGATATATATGTCTTTTTCTTGTTTTAGTTCTGCCACCCTACCTGTTACATTTAAATGCCTAGAAGAAAATAATGGAGTGGATAAGCGTGTTACAAGATTTGTACTCCCAGTGGGTGCTACAATCAACATGGATGGCACAGCTTTGTATGAGGCTTTGGCTGCAATTTTCATCGCACAAGTTAACAACTTTGATCTGAACTTTGGGCAGATTATCACAATCAGGTACAGAAGCCATTTGTGAATGCTTTGATTAAAAGTGCCTTTACGTTGATCACCCTCTTAGCTTACCCACTACAAATTGAAGAATGACTTCCACAACTGCTAAGTATGAGCCTGAGCTACATCTTAGTAGCTAACCAATTATTACACAATTTGTATTCTCAGTGTATCAGCATGAAAGAGGGCCTGCAAAGCATGTAAGTGGGTTAGCCTTTAAAATTATAATATGAAAACATAATCATTGAGTTTGAGGGTCATCAACAGCATGTGAGAGTAGTAGATTTATATTCTGCTCAATGTAGTTGATTTTGTGTGGTGAATTATCATCTATTTCATTTGTGATTTGTTTTCTTATACAATATACAAACCACACAGCACAGCAGCCTGCTTGTATGCTCATTATTAGGGGAGCAGACATTCACTGAAAAAAATCTCACAGGGATGTAGGTTATAGCCATGTTGGTCTAAGAACATCAGCAGACAAGATATCAGATTTACCCAAAGAACCTTTTATTAGACCAACTCAGATAGTTGGAAAAATTCTACTTAGCAAGCTTTTGGGTTTAAATACCCTTTGTCAGGCTGAGGAAGCATCTTCAGTTGGTGTGCGCTCTTCCTGGATGGAATGAATGGTAAAGAAGCCAGAGGCTGCCTTTCTTGCATGCAGACCAGATTTTGTTACCATAAAGTGGACATGATCCTTTAGTAAGAACCATTTCTGGCTTTGAAAATGGTCATACTAATTCAATATCCAACACAGCAGGCAAAATTCTGCTTTCAGATTCTCATGGCATATCATGGCTCTGATTATCTGCTCTCCCTCCTTAAATGAAACTTGCCATGATTAATGCAGATATGGTAAACTGCCTTTTATATTGAATACCCTAGGACAGGGGTGGGCAAAATGCGGCCTGCAGGCCAGATGCAGCCTGCCAGGCCATTCTGTCTCGCCCACAGAGCCCCTAAAAATTTAGAAAATTAATATTTATCTGCCCCGGCTGCCTGTCACGCAGCCCTCAATGGCTTGCCAAAACTCAGTAAGTGGCCCTCCACCCAAAATAATAGCCCACTCCTGCCCTGGGATCTAGTAGGGATGACAAATGCTGTGCAATTATTGCATGTCTGCTTTAAAAGTTTGATATTTCCAGAGAAGCAAAAGATTATTAATGAAACAAAAAGGAGATGGGACTAAACTAGTAAATTCAAAGCCAGGTCCAAATTTAGATCCATGGTTTGGCCTATTATTAACATGTGGACTAGGTATTAAGATTGGATCCAGATCACAACTTTAATAAAGCTTGGGCTGGGAAGGGAGTTCAGACCTATCTACAAAATTAAAGACACGCCTGGTCTTTTATGATGTGTCCTGCTCCAATACATGAAGCTAAAAATCTGAAACATCAATATCTGGTCTTCATCTAGCACTTGTATTTGCTTAAGAGTTATGCATTAAATGTTTACTAGGTAGCAAGATTTTTTTGGAAGCTAACTTTTTTCCTTCGCTTTCCTTCATTTTGGCACAGCATCACAGCTACAGCTGCCAGTATTGGGGCTGCAGGAATTCCTCAGGCTGGACTGGTCACCATGGTCATTGTGTTGACATCTGTAGGTTTGCCTACGGATGATATCACTCTCATCATTGCAGTGGACTGGTTCTTGTAAGTATTTCACATTGAAGAGATAGACCATATTTCAATGGAAAATTCTAATTATTACTGAGCCTGCACATCATTTAATCAGTTGGCTCACTCTTTATGTGTGAAACTGTTCATAAATTTAGAGGTGGTTGGGTCTGTGTTTATTTTGTTTTTTTAGATACCATATTTTGTCATCACTGTAACCCTAAAGGAAATGAGGGGCATATTAGGGATCATACACAAAACAAATACAAATGTCAAAGCATCCCTCTCAACCAAAGGAACTATTCTGAAAGCTTTCAAACAGCCTGAATCTGACATCAATAAATAAGAATCGTAACACTCCAGTATATGATGCTGTTGTTTGCATGTTGTTAATGAGCATCCTACAGTGAAAAAGACATGAAAGTTTCCACCATTCAGTTCAGAACTGCTTTATCCCAAATTTCCTGACTTTCCAAGTCAGTGAGGGTCTCTGTGCCTTCCCAAGAGACGAGAAAATAAAATAAATACAGTGAATAATATCCATTAGCCCTATCCAGCCACTGAATATGAACTGAGATTTGGTTGATATAGGTGAATGACAGTGCAATTTAATTTTCCCATTCCTGTACATGTTAGAAAAGAAAACTGAGCAGTATTCCTAAGGATTGGGGAATTCCTTCAGGCCCAGCCAAGGTAGATGTGCTGGAATATCATTGCCACCATCAGAATCCAGGGACCTTTCCCATACTTGCAAAGCTGCTAAGCTAACTCACCAGCCAAGGAAGGAACATGCCAGACCAGAACCTGTTTCAGGATCTTTGCCTCAAGGGACATCGCATTGGTTAAATCAAACCTTAAGCAAAAAAATGGTAAAATAAGCTATTTCATCAGCTATCTAGACCCTATTTTACCTTAACTTCCTTCCCACAACCCATAAGTCTCCAGCTCAGTTGAGGGCTTTCTAAACTTTATAAGCACCAAGTGATCTTCAGGGTACCATTTGACTAATAGCATTACCTCACTGCTTCAGCTGAAAGGAGGTCCACTGTGCCATGGATGAATCTCACGCTGAATTATTTACAGACTATTAACAAGGATCATGTTGTTGCATTAGAATGAGAATTTTGATACAATTTTTGGTTCATATAGAGAACAATTCATGCCTGTGACATTTCTGATACATGAATATGCATAAAAGCATCGGACAATCCAGCAGTAGTTTTCAAAGACTATTTTACCATAGTAAATCTGCCCATATCACTTGAAAAAGCCAGAAAAAATACACTAATTCAACTGTTTTTCATAGGGACCGTCTTCGTACCACTACCAATGTCTTGGGAGACTCCATTGGTGCAGGAATTGTTGAACATTTGTCACGGCACGAACTGAAGAACAGAGATGCTGAGATGGGTAATTCTGTGATAGAAGAGAATGAAATGAAGAAACCATATCAACTCATCTCACAGGAAAATGAGAGTGAAAAACCATTAGACAGTGAAACCAAGATGTAGGAAAAAACAGGCATCTATCCAACACTAGAATTGTGGGAAACATACTTCTCCAACCATTTATACCTTGTTTTCACCAAGTCCATTTAGTCCATGTTTCTCCCCTTTATGATAGCACTGAATAAGAATTAATCACAAACTTTCCAAATTAGCAGTGACCAAGGTGTATGTTGGCATTCTACTTTAAAAAATTAACAGGCTTCACACTGGTCCTGCAAGAAATGTGTTAACTGATGAAAAATACAAAAAAAGTGTGTATTAAATCCTAAAAGTCCCCATGTATATGTTACTGAGCTCCGGAAATGTGACTTCTTTTTTTTTTTAATAAGTTGGAAAGACAAAATAGATAACAGAACCTGAAAAAACATTTTTATTTTTTTAAATACCTATTGCCATTTCCTAACACCAATAAGCATGCAATCAACAATTCCTAACTTGATAACTGAACCAAGATATATGAACTAACAGGATTGTGGTCTTTCATCTGCTGTCACTTTTCGCTTATGTTATTTCCTTATTCTATACTAGAAGCAGAATAAAGAGAGTCACAGTAAATGAAAGAAAAATAAGGAAGAGATGTTCACATAAAACACTCATGAGTAGAGCTTTTACCAGATTGAGCTGAAATATCATTTTTCAGTTGATTTCTTCTGAATAAGACACTTAAGCACTAGCAAGGACTGATCTTGACAAGCGCTTATGTTTACTGCTCGCTTTGACCTGTGAAATAAATATTTGCAGGATCTAAGCCCTAGATTGGGTGGTCTTTGATGCAAGAAGGGCATCTTCATCTGTGTTTGGAAAACACTTAATGCACAGTGGGCATGCTCATAGTCTAAATAGTCAGCAATAGTAAAACAAGCAGAGAGCATCAGCACTTTGTAGGAAGCACTACAGGCCTGGGAGAAGTTGATCAGAAACTAAGGAGATGGAGTTCTGGGTCAGACTCTGTGTTGCAGAAACTACATTGCTGGAAGTCGTGACAGAAGGGGCATTTAAGTGGAAGTCTGCCAACAGCTCGGTCATTCAATTGAGAAGTAGTGAGTCTAATAGCCAAATACACCTAGTTCTACTTGCGAGAC